AAATCACATTCGGCAAATTGGGCTTTGTAGCCGGCGACTGGGCTTATTAGCCCGCAGATCTTGCTATGTAAAATTCCGTCCCAAGCTGATGTGGGCTTAATACGCGGCCGGGCTTATTAGCCGTGAGCTTAATAGCCGGCGACTACTGTATATAACAAGGTAGTTTTAGCGTAAATATGTAAATTACTGAGATTTAATCAGTGGCCTTTACAATGTGCGCACATTTGGAGTCTAGTGAGTGCCAGTTGAGAAACAGCGTGGACGGCACGCAGTAATGCCGTTTGGGCCATGCTCCTCAATGCACTTTTCGTGGACATCCCCAGAGGCAAAAGCGCCCAGCGGGCGGAGGCTGGGGTGGTACTTTCCAGCCAAATAACAAAAACTGTTCTGATGGGCGGCCAAAAGTGGGGCTGACCTTGTAATGCGCCAATAGGCGCATGAGTGTGATGGCCTTGTTGGTCATGGGAAAATGAAAAAGCAATTCGCCGCATGCGTTGCCAGTCGGGGAGGTGAGCCTTCTTGCAAGGACGATCTGTTCGTCGTGTATCCTGGTATACAGCTCACGCGCCCGTGCCAGAGTATGCAGACATGTACGGATGGCGCGCACACATTCCGGATTGTAGCCGCGAATTGTGCTGGTAGAAGAAGCGAGCTGGGTAAAGGCTTTTTCTGTCAGCTGACAGGCCTGTGTGCATAGGAGACACAGAAAGCAACAAAAGGCTTCGATTTATCGGCTTGCAGGCAAGCAGGCGTGTAGAAAGGCAAGCAGGCAGACATGATAGATTTTCCACCGAACACAAAGATCAGCACCAACCCTTGTTAATACTGTTTAGCATACATTGATTCGGTGCTAGTTTTTTCACCAGCATAGACGCAACCGAGGACTAGGGCGGACAGTCGGAATAAATTAGGATTTTATCTGTGGCTCTATCGTTATAAATAGTGAGATCAACATAAATTATCATAGGGAACAAAGCGACGAAGAATATAAAACAAAGAGGAACAGGCATCCAAAGTGATTAGACGAGTAGGTCTGCGAATGACACTGGTGTGTGACTGTCGGTTTATAAGCGAGCGGGAAAAAATGACAATGAACAAAGAAAGATGGGAATGAAGGGAAGAGCAGGCGACGAATTAAATAAAGGGGTGCACAACAATGGAACTCAATTAATGGTTAG